CAAATTCCATTTGTCCAAATAATCAATAATTTGATACATTTTATTTCCAATTGGATTTATCATATACTTTATTACACATTTAAATATGTTATCCTATTCTTTTGAATCATTATTACTATATATAGTTTTATTCAAAAGAATATAGAATTAATACAATAAAATCTACCATAGTTGTTTTTTAAAAAATAAAAAAAAACGTTTAATTTATTATATACTATTAATTACTTTATTATTCGAAAATAATAAATTAAAATGTGTCAATAAACTTGAAATTACGAGTTGTTTTTTTTTGAAAAACTCCATCTAAATAATCATGACCGACCCAAAGTACGTTTTTCGACATGTAAAATTGCCAACTCGAGGCGAAAAGTTAAGCTCGCCTTTCCAGAAGTTTGACACGACCGTCCCCAAGAAAACATTTTCCAATAAAAACCAGAAAGCCCAGGAAACTACACAAAAACTGGGTATTACTTCTTCAGAGCTTCAAAGTGCAAAACTTTCAGCACTTCCTCCGACTTCTTACATCGACGAAAAGTTCAAAGAAATTTCCGCGTTATTTGATATTGAAACATCTGAATCCACCAACTTGCCTTATGAAACAAAATGGCTTTTACTTCAGAAACATGTACCTGATGCGTCTCAGTCCAAAATGCGTAATGCCACATTTGCTGTTTCTTCTCTTCGTATAGAACCGACGCCACTGTTACTTACTGCCATCGTCAACTTCCTAAAGACAGAGAAGTGGATGTCCCAATTTATAGAGGCTGATGGTGTTGGTGCTTTGATTAATGCCTTAAAGTTCTCAATGAGTGGAAAGGATAGGAAAAATAGTGCAGAGATATCTCGAGGTGCTTTGAGTGCTTTAAGAATCTTAGCGCCCACTTATGCAGATAATTTACTTGATCTCCGCGTCTGTGAGCAGTTAGTGAAATGTCTGACTGAAAATGTAGCGGATGATAGAATTAAGTCTGAGAGTGTGATGGTTCTTTGTCTTCTATCAAACTCTAAACGAGGGACTGAAGCTCTTTTAACCGCTCTTGATGGTGTCAAAGGAAAAGATGGCAGATTTAAAGTGCTAATAGACTTGCTTGGCAAAAGTGATGATGGTGAGATGAAAGCTGCATTAGTGGGAATGTTTTGTTATATTGCAAACAATTCTGAAGACATCTTTTCGAGGATCTCTCGACGTGCGGAATTAAGTTTGAGTGGGTTTGACATCCAATGTGACGGGTTCAAATCTGCCGCGTCAGTTTCGATGTCGAAGGACAGCATTGAAATTTTAAATCAAGTTGGTCTTTACGACAAATTGCGAGACGCCGATGACAAGAAGATGAAAGAACGATTTGGTGATATCCCAAATTTAGCGACAGATAGAACAGATGAGAAATTGCGTGATGTTTTAGTCAGTGCAAAAGCGGATGGGATGTATGTCCAGATGATGAAAGAACTTGAGTTTTTAGTCGGGACTGATTATACGAAGAACAAGAAGGATACAATCGTTCAACAAAAGTTATTAGTCATCACACGACTTGTGAGACAATTAGGTCTCTATTCATACAACAACGACAACAAAGTCATAGAGTTTAATGAACACGCAATAGATGTGAATGCACTTGTTGATGGAGCAGCTGATTGTTTGGCAATCAAACAATTGTTAGATGAAAATGCATCACTTCGAGCAGGTGGCGCAAAAAAGAACAAAATCGACGATGAGCAAAGAGAAGCTCTCATCAAAGCCAAGTTGGACGAGTTAAAGAAGCAATCAACCGAATTGACACAAAATGATGAAAAGGTTACAATGAGACTTAAAGATGTCGAAGAACGAGAGAAGAAGTTGTCCCTCCTAGAAACAAACCAAATTGCGTTAGAGTCTTTGACCAAACAACACGATCAGTTGAAAGGACAATTTAATAACACTATGGAAGTGATGAAGATTTTAACTAAGAACCCAAGACTCGTCGAACATCTGAAGACAGTGAATGGGACTTTCGCATTTTCAGACACTGCAACACAAGTCGCCAATAAAAGTGATGAAGTTGTTATTGACAAAGACGAGTTAAATAGACTTAAGGAAGCGGTTTCTAATTTGGCTCCAAAAGGAATTGCGGCCCCTTCGACGGGAAAAGATGTGTCTAATGTATCAGTATCAAACATATCAACAGACACCAAAGTTCCAGAGACAATTGCACCACCACCCGAACTTGCCCCACCGGGTGGTCTTGCTCCACCACCAGGACTTGAACCACCAGGAATGTTACCGCCACCAGGTTTGTATTTTTGCATTCTATTTGATGACAAATATTATATGTTTCACAAAATTGAAATTAACATTAAGGACTTGAACCACCAGGAGGAATGCTCCCACCACCAGGCTTAGCTCCACCTGGCCTCGAACCACCTGGTGGACTCATGCCACCAGGAATGTTACCACCACCAGGACTTGCTCCACCAGGTGGAATGATGCCTCCACCAGGTTTAGCGCCACCGGGAGGTATGATGCCGCCAGGAATGTTACCACCGCCAGGTGGATTGGCACCTCCAGGTATGATGATGCCACCGGGAATGATGCCACCACCGGGAATGGGAATGCCAGGGATGGGTATGATGGGTCGTCCTGGCTTAAAGATCAAACTTACTTTAGACAAAATCAAAGTTCCCGATCAAAAGTTTAAGATGAAGACCGTCAACTTTGCAGCCATTCCAGACACTAAATTGACGAATACCATTTTTTCGAAAATGGAAGGAGATACAAAGATATTTTCGCACTTCGACGAGATGTCATCACTTTTCAAAATTAAAGAAAAGGTTAAAGTCGAGAAGCCTGTTGATACTGGTAAGAAGAAAATTGAGTACTTCCGTGTCTACGATGGGAAGAAATCGCAAGCAGTTTCAATTACATTGAAATCATTTAAAGGTGCTGATGTCAAGAAGATCATTGAATCTATTGAAGCATTAGACACTGGGTTTATCAACGATCAGACTATGATTGATGGTCTTTTGAATGCGCTTCCAACTATTGACAAAAAGACCCCAGACAATGATGAGTTCTTAAAAATAGAGAATTTCATCAACAAAGTTAATCCGGCCGATAACGACAAAATACTTGATGCACCAGAAGCTTTTGGGTATGAGTTGTATACCAAATGTCCAAATGCCAAAGAGAAGTTGCAAGCCATTAAGATCAAACTTGGCTTCCCCGAGAAGTTCAATCAGCTCGACAACGACTTAGCCGCTATTTTGAGCGCAACTTCTAACCTTTCAAAATCAAAGAAGTTCCAAAAGGTCCTTGAAATTGTGTTGATTTTGCTGAATTACATCCAAAAAATTAACAAAAAGAAACAGTCTTCTGGTTTTAAGATGGACTTGTTGACCAAATTACAAGACACAAAGAATGATGACGGAAATAAAAACATGGTGGACTTCCTCTGCTCTGTCATTCACAACGATTACAAGGACATTTCCGACTTTTTGTCCGAGCTTGAACCAGTAGTAACTGGAAGTAAAATTTCTTCTAAAGACGTTGACTCACGCTATGCAGATCTTGTTAAGTCACAAACAGAACTCGACAGTTTGTTGAAAACTTTGAACGAAAACAGTGCTAATGGCATTTTTGCGGGTATATTAGAACAATCAACGTCTTCTATAGCAACAGACATGCTGCTTCTTGAGACCAAAAAGAAACAGTTTGCTGTCGACTTTCCTGAATGTGCTGTGCTTTTTGGTGAAGACAAAACAAAGATCCCAGATTCAGGGGACTTTTTCAAACCATTTGCATCGTTTTACACGGCTTACGAAAAAGCAGAGAAAGCACTCCAAGACGAAGAAAAGGCGGCTCAAAAGAAGAAAGAGAAAGAGGAACAAGCTCTCTTGAAGGCAGCAGAAGACGAGAAAAAGAGAAAGGAGAGAGAAGAGAAGAAGAAAGAACAGGAAGCAAGTATTGACAAGATGCTGCCAGGCGTTTCAAAGAAAGCAGTCAAGAAAATCAAGAAGGTCACAAAACATGCCGCAGAAGAAGTCAAAGACGAGAAAGAAGAGAAGAAAGAAGTTGTCGTCAAAGTTAAGAAAGTCAAGAAAAGAGTTGTCAAAAAAGAGACGACAGAATAATCAAATTTTCTTTCTTTTTTTGTTTTATTATTATTACAAAGGAGATGTTGTTATGGCAAGGCTTCTGGGTATATAAAACACTTACATTCACTTTGTAATTTACTTTCTTGTTTTCATGAATATACACAAAAATTCAATTTCCTGAAAAAATATTTATGTTACTATGAATTTAATAAAAAAATGTTATTAATTATGGTTTTTATTTTTATAAATTGTTAAAAACTCAAAAAAAGTTACCAATTCGACAAAAAATCAAATATCGCGATAAAACATTTAAAATTTTATTATGATTTTTTTTATCGCATATATGTTTTAAATTAAAACTGAAATATTTTGTTTTATAAATAATTGATTATAACAAACAAAACTATATTTATTAATAATATTTGGTTAAAAAAACAAAATGAAAATAAATTAAAATATCAAAAAAGTACATAAAACAAAAAAAAGAAAGTGGAATAGAAAAGTGATCATCAAGTATTGATTGATGAAGAAAGCTGTTGCAGACATTCTGAGCACAGAGACAATTCCGACACTGCGGTGTCGTCAAATATCACAACTTCCAAAAGAAATTGACAACATCGATGAGTTGAGATTGTTCCAGTGCTTTTCGCGGGAGGAGGATGTGATGGTGAGAGACGAATTTGTTGAGTACTTCAAAACTGCATGCAGTCCCAGACTTCTCCAACTTGTTGAAAAAACAATTGGGCTCGGCGTGGAGTCTGAGAATGTTTTTATGTTGTACGTTGTTTTCGTGCGCAATTGTCTTGAATGCGTTTCACAGGAGAACATAGACGTTGTTAACACTTTGTGTGCTGGGTTGTGCCGCCACATCGACTCAACACGACTCCAAACACTTTGTGCTGACTGCTTTGACTTTGTCGCGTCACACAATCTACACGAACTGACTGATGTTTCTCTTTTCGTTCGCCTCTCGCGTCTGTGTTTCGCCTCATTTTTATCGACACTGAAATGTGAAATGCTTACTCTCATTGCCAAGCTCATCGATGTGACGAGTGCTGCAGTTTTTGCGGATTTTCCTCTGGTTTTGACATCGAATGGTCTTGATGTGTCTCTTTTAATTCAGAGTTCTGTCCTTTCAGAGCACTTGCAGCCACAATGCCTCGACTTGGTCTGGACTCTCTTTAAGAAAGTTTCTGAACAACAGATGACGGCTTTCCTGTCTACACCGCCACTTCCTGACTACCTCATCGAGGCGTTCCTCCAGTCGCCTTCAAACGTGTTTCTTGCGGAGATAGTCACACTGTTTCGACTCACCACTGCAATTGCAAGACAAATTGCAGACATCCTCCCAATCACTTTTGATTCGTTTTGTCTCTTTGTGCGACTGCTGGAATACCTCCCACCATCAACACTCTCAGCTCACTTCCAACTTCTTGTAGACGCAGCACACCCAAATGGTGCAGTCAATGATGCCTTTGTTGACACACTTCTTGTCTTTCTTCAGGCACACATCTCCATCAACATCTCCTCAGTGCACTCAGACATCGTCGTGTATCTCACCAACAATTACACACCTTCACATGACGTGTTGTTGGAGTACATGACATCACCACATAACATTGTGGCATTTCTTCAATGCGATGGACTCCCTCTGTTGCTGTCTCTCCACAAAAGAAATTTTATCTACAAAATGCTGTCCGTCTGTTATCCCACCATCACGTTCAGTCTTGACATCGTCCCGTCATCCACTGCCGACGTCTTGGCAAATATAGAGTGTGTTGAAGTGTTGTGTGTGGTGCATCTATCATTGTTTGGGAGGTGTTTGGTGGACAGCGACATCATCAAAGCGGTGCAGCCGAGAGACGATGTTGGGGTGTTGTTTGTTGCTTCCATTGAGGCGTTTTTCAAAGTCGACATCACTGTGGATCTCAACAGCATTGTGTTGCGATATGGAGATGCGCCGTTCACACAACACATCTCTGATAGTCTCTTGTTGGAACTTCTCCAACCAAAGTACGAAAACGTATTGCTCACAAACCCGTTGCTAGTTCTCCACTCGTGTTGTGATGTAGAAAGTCATTTTGATATGCTCGGTTTTGACGACAAGATGCGCTTCAATGATGGTGTGCGGTGGGTTGTGCTCTACTTTGGTGAGAAAGGGGTTATCGACTCTTAACACAGTGACAATGCAAGTGGGTTGTAAAAGTTTTATTTTTATAAAAAGTGCATTTGCCGGGACTCGAACCCGGATCTCCACCTTGGAAGGGTGGAATTCTGCCCTTAGACCACAAATGCTTGTTAATAATAAGAGAAATTACTCTTCCTTGTGTTTTGTCGTGGCGAACATGTCAAAACAAATGTGCCTTCTTCTGTTTGTGTATAATTTTGAACAAACACATTCAAATCGAACAAACCCAAACACTCAGTTATTTGAAGTCTTTCATTGAAATATCTTTGGGAGATTATAATAAAAGAAAAGTATAAACTTAGAAAGATAATAACAATAAAATTACTATAATTCTATTGTAATTATTTTAATTAAATATACTAATATAAAAAAGGTAAATAACAATTAAATTACAATATAACATTGTACTAATGTAACACTTTAGTAGAAACAAATGACAGAGACATTTTTAACAGTATTGAACACACAGCTTTTGGAAATATAAAACATTTTAGAAAACTCTTCGAAAGTAGAAGGTACGTTTCTGTTGATATGCACCGTTGTTCCAACAGTCATCAAAGATAGAAGTGATCCATAATTAGTGTACCAACACATTTTAGTATCCTCTTCTTTCTTTGCAAGAAGGTGATGCATCATGAACTCATGGTTGTCTTTAGTTGAAGCAAAACAAAATGCGGATTTGCTTGAAAACGATTTCCATTGCCACGCCCTTCCGACGTCCTCTTTGTTCACACAAATCCCAAAAATGTTTTCGTCCATGTCCGCAAAGACAAAAGCGACTCGAGACGCTCCTTTTGTGCACTCGAAGAAATTGACCGTGTCTAGGTTTTCAGTGGTGGCAACAATCTTTGGCGTCTTTGTGAATGGGACCCACTCGGCCAGCACAGAGACGATACTGTTAATTGACCCGCCCTCAAACCTTTGAGGGTCTTGTTTCTTAGTAAAAATGATTTTAGTGATGGTTCGTTGGGGTGATGTTGTTTTACGAGGAGTCGAGGGAGTTGTATCTCCAAAGGACAGTTCGTAGTTTTTGTGTGAGAATTGGGAGAAAAAGTTGTTTATAGTGTATCTCCTTGAAATAACAGAGAGAGAGGAGTACGTTGAGACATAAATTGCCTTTTTGTCTTTGGGATAGAAGACAAGGTGTGACGTTGGGTTTTCGTTTGTTTCACATGAGACGTGTTTTCTATGTCCTAAATATTTCGACTGTTGGATTTCTAAGACAGTAATAAAGTTTTGAATTCGTTTCTCTGGAAGTATTGGTTCAAGATCAGATAAAGACTCTGGGGATGCGTCCTTCGACGTAATGGAGCAGTGGAGGATATCACTGTCATGAAGAAAAGTGAATGGTTGATGTATGAATGTTGTCATAATGAAAAATGAGTTGGAATATGGTTGTATAGTTTATATTAATATTTTTTATTAACAACGTTTAGATTGTGAATATTTCTATTCTAATAAGTAATTCGATGTTTTGTTACCCTCAGCATCGCTCGAGGAAATTTTGCCATTTTACTTTTTATATTTTTAAATATTGTCTTAATCTATATCGATTGGTTCTTTTGGCATTTGTGGACCGATTTTATTAAAGGTTTGATATTTCCAAAATTGATACTATTAATTTTAATTATATTGAATTAAAAATCTCATATAGTTTCACATAATACTAATTCAATACCAAATTTGTTGAAGTGGGCAATTATAAAGCGAATTGCAAAACAAATTGGGAAAGTGAATTGTACAAGAACAGGTTTGATTTAAGTCAGCCAAAGTGAATGCCACTAAACCGGGAAAATGAACAAAAATAATGGTGTTTGATATTTTTATTTTAGACAAAACAACTTGTATATGGAAACTGTTTTTCATTGTGAGTATCTTTTGTTTTGTTGTTATTTTACTTAATTGAGAAGAAACACACTTTATTATAGTATGGTATATTATATTATAAACAAACCATTCAATAGTTGTAAAAAATGATTATATTGAATTTAATTTTAAACTGCGATTACTTTTTTTATGCCATGGCATTTCAACTAAGTTTTTTCTTATAAAAACAAATAAAACGAAATGTTATTAATCCCGAATTTTTAAGTAAAAATGGTCAACCAAACAATATTTGTTTTTTAAAAAGCAAGTATATTTAGAAAAAAAAAAACACAACATAAAAAGAAACAACCAGTAATTCAAACAATGACAAATAGCTTTTCAAGGGAAATAACCCTATTTTTTTATTTAAACAGTTATCATTTCATCAAAAAAACTTTATCAATAAAATCATTATAAAAAGATATTGCGGTTATAATGTGTATAATTATGGGTTTTTATTTATAACAATAAAATTGCCGTTTATAATTTCTTTAAATAAAATGATGATTTAGCTTTATTCTGTTTTTAAATAATTGTGATTTGAATATTTATTTAGTTCAAAAAAACATTTTTTCAAATTTGTTTTGTTTGTTGTTTTGATATTTTTTTTAACATAAAAATTAAAAACTTTTAACGTGAAGCAAATTTATTAAAAACATATTTAAAAAAAACAAAATTTTTTAGTACAATATTTTTTAAAAATATTATTGTTTAGTAATAATATATAAAACTTAATCATTAAATAATTAAATAATAAAAATCATTACCAAATTATATCAGTTGCTTCTCTTCAAAGACATTTTTGGATTGAATAATATATTTCAAATTAATTGTTAGTATTTCCTTTTATATTTAACGAGTTTTTTTTATTTTACAAGTTAATTATTTATTAAGAATGTTGTTTTTTAATTTAATACAGTAAAGAGAAAGGACGGACATGGTGACGAAGGACGGGAATATAGGCCGAAGGACGTCCTTTGTGGTTTAAGGACGTCCTCCCGCTATAAAGGACGTCCTCCCTGTGTATATGGTGTCCTTTCTATTATTTTCGTGTCCGCGGCATTTTTTATTCATTATCGAAACTATATAACAAAGTATATTTTTATTATAAATATACA